ATATACAAATTTTTTAATGAAAATAAATTGTTTTTATTGACTTTTAAAATGTTTGCTTTTAGTATTAAAGCAATTTTTCGTTTAAATAAATCAGTTTTCAAAATAGTTCTACTATTGAGAAACGTCTATAACAGAAACGTGAGATTTGTAAGCTGGCCTCTTCTGGGCTGTTAAATTTATGACTACGTTAGTTACATTTGACAGCTGACAACAGGGAATAAAATCATTGGTTGATAAATCAAGTGAAAAAAGACAGCTACTGATCAGTTTCTCTGGGCATCAGAAAAAAGTGATAGAACAAAATGCAGTATGTGAACTCGCATTGTTTTAACGCAGAATGATGAGACGTGTGGCACTTTTTATTAGAGTTAAGCAATGATTTCTGAAAAAATTATTGCCATAAACTAACTGATAATTCAGACTGGAAGAAACACGCCAATGTAAAATTTAAATTTAGCTAAGAAAGTTACCATAGTTTAAAATAGATTTTGAATGAAACTCTATCGATTTCGAGGATAATCAGACATAGGTCCCTCTTCCAAAGAAAAATTTTTTAACATCCAGGTATGCTAGACTCATGAAAATAGGAATAAAAGAAGACAGCCATCTTCGCACTACGTTTGACGCAGTGATGCCGAGCTTTGGTAGACCGAGGGGTTGTGGTACTTCCAGAGCATGTTATCTTGCCGGCGGTTTGATAGTGCTCCCATACACGACAGCTCCGTCAAATTCAGAAGCAGGGACACTTCCTCATAAATTGTTGGATGGTAATAGCAATTTGTACAGTTTAATGTCATTTTAAGCACAAATCACATCTTGGTTATCTTTTGATAACTTGCAACAGCGATTTTAATTATAAATGTGTTTTATAAAATTCTAAGCCACTGGACTACACCCTTCAATAGGAGGCAACAGTAGCTCAACTATTAGGTGCCTCAATAATTAAAGTGACTACCACTTCCATTCTTAGTAAGGACAACGCCTATAACGGTTAGCGCCCGCCATTGGGAGAAAAATATATACTAATAACATACTTGATGGAATTTTTATCCTTTACAAATTATTATTCTGTCTCGTATCGTTTGCAAACTATTATTCATATTTTTCAGTGGCAGTTTTTCAGTTTTCTTCTGAATTTCACAAAACTGCTGGTAGCTTTTCTGATCAGTGCCATTTAGTTGAAGAGCCTTTTCTTCGAGTTCGAAATAATTTTCTACACCCGGTTAATGCTGCATATCATCACTGTTTTATTCTATCCACTTTCAGAGTCAGTTTCTGCACTTCCTGTAATACTATGTACAGTAACTTAGTCATTTTTTATATATGTTGTCTCAACATTGTCGTCAACTGACACATAGTATAAAAATGAATTTTTATGACTTCTTCTCACTGACGTCTAAAACATTAACTACAGTTTGCAGTTTCTCTGGAGCTTCTATGTAAAAGCCATCTTTCAGAAACAATTTTATTTTGTTTTAAAAGCTTGACACCATCATTAACAATAATATGCAATGGTATCTAGCGCAGATATCAATTTAATTATTTCCTTCGAATTGTTAACATCTTTCTTATAATGACATATGAATACTTTTTTATGAAACCCTGGTGTAAAACCGTAACCTTCGAAGTAGCATTTTCAGTAAGAAACATTAATGGTTTTCAGATTTAATTTATGACTTCTTTTTGCTATGTTATGATACAGGTAAATACTTAAATCCTTTCAAACATCGATACTTTCTGCTTTTGTCAATAACCAGTGCTTTTTCATAAATGTAGGGTTTATATTGCACGTTAACAACGGTAACTCGTTCCTTCAGTTTCTTTAATAATTGTAGTTTCACTTTTAAATACGGATATGTGTTCTATAACGAAGTCGAGTTGCGTCTGCATTATAAATTTCGTCAGCCGCATGATGATCTGGCTCTTCCTTCTCACCATGTAGTTTCTAATAAACAATACTGGATTTCTCTTTCTCCAGCTTGCCAGCCATCTGTTAATTGATAGAAAATTCTCTCCCAGTATTAAGCGAAATAATGAAAAAAGCCCTAGACTAAAAAAATAGTTTTACAGCTTGAAACTATTCTAAAAAAGCAATTTCAATAACTCTCGATTTTTTGTCTTTTGTGTGTTTCCTTGGGAATATGCATTTTATATTAGTTTTTCATTAATTATAATGCCTTGCTAAAGTAAGTTTCACAGTGCTGCTTAGAAAATTACCAATTTAAATGTTGTTTTTCTCTAGTTACAATTACCATGTACATGAACATCTTATATAACGATTTCTCCTCTTCCTCTTTCAGGCTTAAACCTTTTTGCTTAGGCATTTTCGAAAAGTTAATGACGAGGAAAAAATTTTTTTTTCAGTAATTTATTTAATTTTAAAATTCATGTTTCCAGATAACAGAAACATTGCATTTTGTCTGCTAAGTCTATCTGCCATTGCATGATTACAGGCGCGACCAATGCTCTTTTCGCTTTTCTTAAGCCTACCATTATTATTCCTTTCCTATTCAAAGACTATTAATGAACAGTAACGTTAATAAGAATGTCATAAACTTTGTGAGAACTCTCTGTAAACGTAACGTGTGTGTCCCACAGGGAAAGTTTTAATGCATAAACCTTTAAAGATGGGATAAATATGCTTACATTTCTTGTTAGCTGCTACTCAAGAAAGAACACTCATTCATTTGGAGTGCTCCTAGAGGATGGTTTTATTAGTCTTAAGATAAAGAAACTCTATCTCACTGAAGTCCAGTCCGGCAAAGAACACTGAAACCAGTGTTCCATATATATACAAGGATTGGGAAAATTGGAAAATTTCGGCCAACCCTGTTTTACTGAAGCATTATATACTGAAGAGCAAAAATATTATAACCACCTACTCAATCCTTCTGGAAGTTTCTATTTCCAGTTGTAAAGACATACGCCATGGAAGGATGCACCTGATCCTCAGTTATGTTTAGATAGTCCGCAGCTTTCATGGTCTGTTATACCACAACTAAGGTTCCCAGAGCCGCCCATGAGGACATCCCTCCCATGCCACCACCAGCCTGTGTATGACCTGCTGTATAGGGGGAAGCAACTGTTCGCCTGGAAGACCGTATACCTTTATACAACCATCGAAGCGATGAATGATAAGTCGTGATTCGTCCGACCAGGTAACTGTCTTCCACTTATTCATGGTCCAGTCTCGATGTTCCCGGGCCCAGTGTAGGCGTACTTGACAATGACGTTTGGTCAAAAGAGGCACACGAGTGGGACGTCTGCTGCATAGTCCCATTCCAACAATGTCCATTGAACAGTGTGTTTTGAAACACTTACACTTGAACCTGCATTGTATTGGGCTGTCAGGTAAGCCACTGTCTGACGCCGATTTTGCTTACCAACCGGGATAGTCTCCGACGTCCTTTTCCTTTGAAGACGCGTGGGCGTCCAACAGCTTGGCATCTGCTACTGTTTTCACTGTTGTTTATCCACGGTAGATCGTGAACAAAATACCAGTCGTGCAGTTTCGGAGATATTCCTTCCGAGTTTTCGAGTCATCTTACAATCCATTTATAACTGATAGATACAGATTCCGATTCCATTTACATTTTTGTATTTCTATTTTTAGATTCCGCTTCCATTTACAATCTGATAGAGGGCAGACTGTCTATCAGATTAGCTTAGATCAGCAGCCTTTCTCATTACTCCCAAAAGTAAGAGCAAGAATGATTCTTCTCCAGCAGCAGTTAAATACCACTCCGACTAAATCACGTGCCCTCCGCGTCATCCAGACAAGCTCATTGAAAAATGTGCGGATGGTCATAATGCTCTGGCCCGCAAGTGTATACCCCAGTGATAAAGCACGGTCCTCTATAAGTGAAAAGGATGACAAACAAAATTCCTTAACAGCATCCAAAAACGTTCTACAATTATATTAACTAGAATCTGTATACTGGCGTAGCGACATAAATTCACAAAATAAGAGTAAAAAAAATATCTTCCGTAGCCCCGGATCGACCGATCATACGCATTTCCTTCCTACAAACAAGACACTTAATAATGACTACTAAGTAAACCTTCATTTACACACCAGTCAAGTAATTCCCCTTTCTTTTCAAATGGTACAGAAACTTCAAATTAATCTTACCACATTCAGCATTTTACCGTCTAAACCAGAAAACTAGCAATGTACTTCCTAACCAACACACACGACAAGCCCTTACAAATTCACCGCAATCATGCAACCGATTACGTCATAATAGGGTTTCCATAACATTCATCTACTCGGGCTGCCATAAATAAAGGACCATTAGGCGATAAATTAAACAACAACTTGGCGATAAATGAAACAAAAACTTAGCGATAATACAAGAGGCACCCTTCTCTCTACTCTAACCCTGGGATATTCTGGTACTGAAAAATCAGTCTTGTCCCAATCTTTGTTTTATAAGCGGAGGAGACGAGTTTGATAAATTCGACTTCTCTCTTGATTAGTGTATATTTGTTAAATTTCCTGGAAATGTGAAAATAATAAGCAGCTAATTTTATTAACTTGTGAGTTTAATAAGCGGTGGTATAGCTTAAAACTCAGTTTTGAGACATGAAAAACGCAAGTTGAATTTCATCGATCAGACGACTAGAACAGTAGGTGTAGATCTGTCTCTTTCCCTTTTTTTTGACTGAATATACATTTATTGCATAAAGGAGGTAATTGTAAAATTGAAAACTCAGTAATATGAAACCTAAAAATTTTCAATCATATCTTATTTTTAAGAGCCTAAACTCATGTGATTACATAATTTTGTGATTCTTAGGAGCTGCAACATTTCTTTTCAAAGCAAAATATAAAATATTGTGTTTATAGAAAATTGGTAAACTGGGAAGAGGAAGAATGCTCTAAACTCTATTGCGACATTAGTAATGGCGTAATATTTTAATTGCCAGATCCTTCTGATATTAAGCTTTAAAAGATTACAGCCTAGGCTTTTCGACTGAGTGATTTACTTTTTGATTTTATTGACTGACTGGTCCCTTGCCGTAATTTTAACTGTTACCATTAAAATAGTTTTCTCCTTTTAATCACAGCTACGTTTTTATCATGAGTGAAATCCGAAATTATGGTAGTGTTACTGCTGACTCGGTAAGTGTATTCTAAATCTGTAAATTGATTAATTCAACAAACATTCGTGTGTTTGTTGCTTTATAAATATTTTTTTAATAGCTAGCATTAAAAATCAACGGATGGGTACCTATAGTGATACATTACAGAAAGTTTATTCTCGGAGCTTAATGCTTAATAGAAAGGTTAACTGAAATAACATTCACTTATATAAATTCCTTTTTATGCTAATGTTCAGTTATAACTTTGAATAGTTTATAATTAACATATTCTCTTTAGCACGGTCGATGTTTAAATTCTGCAATAACTTCTGATAACAAATTTTGTAAAACAAAGCAATATACAAGATGTATCCTTTTTAGAAATATACTGCTATTGTTACATGCACCATCTCCCATTCAAAAACACTTGATGCATTTATGAAGGATTTTTATTAGCTTAGTTATCTCAAATATGTAAACAAAAGTTTTAAAACTATTAGATAACTTTGATGTAATTATGCATTCGAATTTTCATTCATTTCAATAACATGTGCAAAGATTGTAATTTATACAAATTGCACGCATTTTTGTAGACTGCATTTATAAGACTGCTTGTATATTCATGACATATTAATGTAGAATGCAAACATATTATTCGCTTCGAAAGATATAAGGAGTTATATATGTGCTTTAAAATAAAATTTCGTTTACCCTGATTCGATTATTTGCCTATATAACGTTCTGATATGAAAATGCATAACATGTTTACCTATCTAAAAATATGCCATATCACTGCTATTTTTTGTTTGTAACGACACCAAACGGTTAAAACCAACAAAAGCTGGAAGTTCGCTCTTAGTTCCATTCCTGACGATTGAATGATTTGGTTGTATAAAATTTCGGTGATTTTTGTCATGCATATATAGGCAGTTTTCCTTAAAATATTTCTAAAAGTGTTCAGGTATCCATCTCCCTAGGCAGATTTTTTTTTTTTTTTTTTTTGGTTTGTTATAACCAAGCAAAAAATATCCAAATTGAAGTTATCCTTCTTGCGTGCATTCAGCACCTAGCCCAATAACACTACTGTTCGCATGCAACCTAAGGAATTATAGTACGCCGCTTAAATTTATAGAAGTATACAGTGTTTTTCATACCTGTCATCATCTGATAAATCCTTTTTGAGTAAATCAATTCATTGTAAAAAATATTTAATTAAGTCTCAGCAATTTAGCAGAATTCGAGAAATATTATTCTTAACTGAATTTTTGTAAATGCAATTCATTTTTATAAATCTCTTTTCTAAATACCTTACAATAATGGACAATACTCTGTCAAATCAAAATCTAAGTTATTTAAAAAGCAAATCTTTGCTGCAATTTAAATGCAGTAAAACATTTAAATTGCTGCTTGTAGTAAATGCAAGCAGTAATTTAAATTTTTACGTGCCTTGCATCCTTCAGTTACTATTTCGAACATAGAGCCAAACTTGGCTAATCTTTAGATTATGGTAACTTGGCGACTTTTTGGCGAAAATTTGGCGACCAACCCTGCTACAGCAACTAGTTAGTTTTTGTTTGGACGCCATTTTGTTTTCACGAAGTAAAGGCCTTTTTTTTTTTTTAACTCAACATTTTTTTCCAACAATCTGCTAGCCGGATTACGCTTATGCTAGAACTTTCATGGAACAAAAGTGCTTAATCATGACGAAGATTAGGTGCGAAATCGGGAGAAAGTGCAGAATCGCAAACTGATGCCGCGTTTTTAAGAATTGCAAATACATGGTAACCATTTACTCGTCGACCTATTTTCACTTAAAAAACATCCAAGAATTGCACAAAAATGGTATTGCGCACACTCTTAACTTTATCCATGTACACTGCTAAAGTCCTAGCTAGTAACCTTTATCGCCTTACCAAAATGTCGCCAAACTACCTGTTACCATATTCCAAAGATTAGCCCAAAACGGTTGCACCAAAAATTGCCTGTTTAATAAAAACTTATGCGAAATAAAATCTACATTGCATACGTTATAAATTTTTGAAAGTAAACAACACGTTTTCATTCATAAATGGTTAACACAGATTTAAGTTTCTTCTACATTCGCCCAACTAAATTGCTGAATTTTTTCATCAATAACTATTTTGGGAATAGAAATAAATTCAGTTTATTCTGCATGGTGCAATGACATGACGTTAACATCCTAATCGCACATAAATTTGAAACTGCCTTTAGTTTTAGGTTAAATATACAGGTTTTAATTCATTTCCAAAGTTGCCTAGACAATGAATTTCGTAAGAAGATAATGTATAGAACATATGCAGTGTGCTACTGCTCGGTTCTGGCTTCTGGGGTTATGAAAAATGGGATAGTTAATCGTGCCTACGTATAAAGGGAAAAAGTTAACATATTATAAAGGAAGGAATAATTCTCAAATGATCTAAAACATTGAGGAGCAAAAATTAAATTATCTTCCATTAAAGTCTGTGAACAACTATTACCCTTTGGTATAACTTTTGGTTATCGTAATATACTCTCATAGGTAATTAATATATTTCTAATAATATTTAGAAATATATTAATCTCCTTTATCCTATATTTGCTAGAAACTTGCTTGTTAAGATATTTATTGCCTTCTGTTTTTTACATGTTTTGCATTATAGAACACGCAAAAAACAAAATCAACTTATTTCTCTAGAAAGATATATATATATCCCATATTAAGACTTTCAGAAAACACTTTCGTCATCAGTTCATTTTGGTAAAATGCTTCGAAACGAACCATAATTTAGAAAAGTCTCAATTTTCAAAACTCATATTGACACTATGAGCTTTGAAAGCAAGAACACTGCTATAAGAGAAAATAATACATTCAATTTAATGTTCTAGACGCAGCGTTAGCACATGATTGCGAGTTCTGTCGATAGATGATTTTAGCACATTCTTTTTGTTTTGTCATCGTATTCAAAGCACCTAACCCATACCGTTTTCTTCTTGTTTGGACTTCCACATTTAGGAAAAAAATTGTATATGTTAGTTATCGAGTTTCGTTTTTATCCCAATTTAAAAATAGAATAAAATGCGTATTTCAGACATATTTAACTGTATTTCCGAAACGACAGGAACGCATCGCAAGTATGCAAGAATTAAATTGCTGTATTTGAGAATGAAGCCTTGAAAGAAAGGCCGTGTCAAAATTGGTTAGCCAAATTTCATTCTGGTGATTTTCCCACAAAACGACGCAATGCCTGGACTTCCAATTAAAGTTGTTGGAATTCTTTGAGTCAGTTTCATAGTCATTATCGATTCAGAACGTCATACCAGAAGACGCGAGATTTCGGAGACCCTCAGTGTATCGCATACATGCATTGATAAAAATTAAAACAGGTTGGCTATGTTAAACACGATTTATGTATTCTTCATTAGCTTAAGGACATTTCATCTGACGCAACGCATTAGCATCCGCGATTCACTTATGAAAAGCAACGAAATTGATCCATTTCTGAAACTACAGATTACTAGCTACGAAAAGTGGATATTAATCGAAAAAAATCTTGGATGAAGCAGGATGATTCAGTCCAGAAAACATTAAAAGCTGAGATTCACCAAGCACAGGTTTACGCTGTCAGTTTGGTGGGATCACAAAGGAATTCTGCACTTATACTTTTACCAAAAAACCAAAAGGTTAGTTCAAACACATGCGTTCACCTCACAGACTGGAGGAAACGGCGTTCGCCAAAGTCCTCATCTCCTTTATTCTTGCTTAAAAGCAAGATTGCTACAGAATGCTACATGCGTTCAAGAACTCGCCAGACTGAGCAATGCAGTTCATGAAAAGTGATCAAAATTGGCAAATCGTAAGGGTTTTGTTTTCCAACATGATAATGCAAATGCCCACTTATTTTTGCTCACTCGCCGAAAATTATTGGAACTAGGATGGGATGTGTTGTCGCATACAAAAGTAATCAAATAAAATTTAATTTCCCTTCATATTTAAAATCCGCAATCACTCATTTGACAACTCAATATATTAAATAATTAAACTGCGTATATTTATTTCTCTTTCGATGTAATTTATATCAGCATGTAAAATGTAATCTCAAATTTAGAATAATCGTCGGTGTGAGTGTGAAGTCAATAACTATTACTACGTATATACATTGCCCACTACATTATAATCTACAAAGCAATATTATTCTAATTATAGTAAGAAAAATACTGAATTATAAATCTTTAAATTATTAGAAATTATCTTACGAAATACATATTTTCGATTATTAAGATTTTACTCCTGAAGATAAACAACCAATAAAGTTTCCTGAGAATGCTTAAACTCGATATATATATCTAATGTATATTTGATGAGAATGATTGTATACGTATACTTTGGGAATGGATAATTTTTTGAGTTTATATATTGTAAAGATGTTACTTTTGAAAGTTATAATTTTAAGTTACACTTTGCAATTTTTAGATAGTGAAGTGAGCTATGTAGAATACGGTAACGATTTAAGAAACAAATGTATGAAGTGTAATAGATATTTTGTGTATTAAATGCACTGTAAGCAATGATGTAAATTTTCAATGTTTTTCCTCTCTAATGTATATAAGAACACCAAGTATTTTTTCTTTTTAATTTAATCTTCAAACATTTGATAAAACAATGAAGAGATATAAATTTGAATTGGCTTGTAATTTTCAAATTTTAAAGAAAAGATGGGAACATTTTTTTTTTTAATCCTGAAATCATGTCTTCAGTGAGTAAACAAAGAACTGTATAATTCAATCAAAAACATTCAAACACTATGCAACAAAAAAATCTATATTCTGTCGCAGAATTTTTTATGTAACATCAGAAGTATGAATACTGTATTAATTTATTGCATACAATAAAGAATAATTCTGATTCCGAATTTGAGAAAGAAAATGGATAAGCATATGGACAAAATCGGGAGCATTTCTAATGGCGGGACATTTTAAAATTCCTAGCTTTTAAATTTAATTGTTTTAAACTAAAATTATTATTCTTTACAAATCGAAAAATAGAAGGTATGTAATAATAAAATCATCTTAAAGCATTTGATTTTTAATCAGCAAAAGTACGGAACATTAATTTAAAACGTAAGCGAAATCTAAATTACAGCTGTTTAGTATAATTTAAATTAGCCTTAAAACTGAAATCTGTGGGAAATAAATTACTAAGTAGGCAGCTAAACATAATAATTTCTCATTGAAAAAAAAAAAAGAATTCTAGAGCTTGAAAATACTTTTTAAACCCAAAGGAAGCAATTTTACAAATTTACATTTACGAGTAAAATCGAAAAACGCTTCAAGCCTTTTAGTTTGAAACTTGTAAGGAATGTTTAAAAAAATCTTGTGTTATAAAATCAAATTGCAGGAAAAAGCCTCACATGAGTAAATTTAAAAATATAAGCAATGCGTCTTAAAAATAGGCTTTTTTAATTCAAAAGAACATTTCTCCTCATGTGGTATACAGACGGCTTGGAAGAAATGAATAATTGTCATGCTTTTAAAGTTAAGTGCTATTGGGTATATTTGAAGGTTTGAATGTAGCAATAAAATAGTTCAAAATCAGCTGATCGTAAAATATCAATTTGTGTATTTATAAACTTTAAAAGAAAATTCTAAAATGCACAAAATTTTGACTTGGTGTCTGACTTTAATTTGTAGCACTAGAGTGAAACATTCCTCATATGTATAGACTATCATTATAAGATTATAGTAATAATGTTTTTGTATTTTAAAACTCGGGTCTTAATTCTATGAAAAGTACTGAAGCAAAACTTTTCTAAAAATCAGTCAATTGAAATTTATCTTAAAAGCAAACGTTGTGAAACCAGATTAAAATTTTAGTTCATCTTACAAGATGCCTGTATACAAAAGAAAGTTCAACTCTTAAATTCATTCTGAAATCAATTTGGATTCATATTAAAATTAATTATTGAACTGAAAAAAATTCGTTCGGTAATACACGCAAGTCATTTTGCACTTAGCAAACATTCAGACTCTAATTTAAAAAAAAAAAAAAAAGTAATACGTAACAAGCGTGATGGCTAAAAACTTAACTTAAAACTTAACTTCATTGTGCGCACGCACATTTGAGTTTATTATCGGGATGCGTTTATGAAGTCAATATCGGGTGTTTTATTGTATTGACCATTCTGTTGACGCATAGAGTTGACGCATTTAAGACGCTTTGCTTATATTCTGTTGGTTAGTGTTTCCTAAGTAATGTAGTGTTTGTCGTTTTAACTTCCAAGATAAATTTATAATACTGATAAATGATGAACATGTACCTAAAGGTGAGTATGAGGGTGAATTAAATATTTCTTATACTTTTGTAGGAGCAGAATCGGAGGGAAAGTTCAGAAGATGGACAATTCAGAAGATACCACGAAAGAAATTGGAAACTATTAGGTTATTATTGCGCGATAATCGGTTTTGCTGTTTTGGCATTTCTCTGCATAGTGGGTATTCTTAGGATAATGCTAGACGATACGCCATTACCTGGGAAACTCGCTATGTTCTTGATTGGAACTCCATTTATTGTACTATGCTGTTTCCTTTCTGCTTTGGTAAGAAGAAAAACATAACTGATTTTTCTAGACCACTTTTCATAAAATATTTCAGCACAGAGTAAAAAAAAATGGAAAAATATAATTCTCCCATTTCGTATAAAATTTGCGTTAGTATTTTAATGATATTAGTGGAAAGTTAAGATGATTTTTCATATAATTTTAACAAGAGATATTCATCCATTCCTTGAATTTTCATTCCTGTTAAATAAATAGATACTCATAAATCTAAAGAATTAGCGTTTGGGCATTCATTTCGTCAGTTTATTTATTAAAATGTACTCCCTAAATTTTTTTACGTAGCACAGATATTATTATATTTGGGAAAGAATGGGCTTTTTAATGGCTTGCAGAAATATTTTTTCAGTTTAGTGTTAAGTCATGGTGAAGTAAATTTTTGCTAATCCAAGACGAATAAGATCTTTAATTTAACTTGAATATTGTAAAAGCACTTTGCTTAATTTATATTAAGTTGACGTATTTATGCCCTTAACATTTTGTGGTAAATGTCTCTTTATATCCCGAAAGACATAAATAAAATTCACTTTTGTTACTCTTTGCCGATTGCAAGGTTTCTTTTATTGTGTTTTTATATACATTATCACCTGTATTTAAACCAAAATCATACGGTTTTAGTTAAACTTTATAAAAAATTTAGACTGCAAATTTATTTCTACATGTTCTTAAATTTTTGTTGTTCATAAGTAAATCTTAAGTCTGCTATTGCATTGTGTTCCGTGAATCCGAGTTCAATGGTGCCATATTTCCTTCTGCCAAGTCAAACTGCCTGACCACTGAGAATTACTTAAGTTCATCCTTCACCTTTTCCTATTTCCTGGTGTAATAATATTTCTAAAAAAAACTTTGTTACCATTTTCTTTATTTCGAATAGGATGTTGGGTTTTATCTTGATTCGGTGTCACTAAATACCTTATTTTCCATTCATATATAATTTTCTCTATGTATGCAACATTTCCACTTATCTTTCAGTTGTGTACAAGGACCGCACCGCTGAATAGTGTGCTTTCCTCTTTTTTAAATATCAATGTCCATAATTTGCAACTAGACATGAATCAAAATGCTTCAATACGTTTAAAATGTGAACTTCTGGTATAAGGTATTTCTTCCACTTTCCTAGCGTGCCTTCGTGGTGTAACGGGTAGCACGCTGGGCCGGTATTACAGAGGTAGCGTAGTTAGATTCCCGGCGAAAGCGGTTGCTATTTTTCATCTTGCCTGCTTCCAAAAATCCTTATGTCTCTACAGTGGCGCCCGAACTAAAAGGGTTGTGGATGATTATCCGCACCCAGTTAAATCTGGATTCGACTAGGTTCCCTAAAACCCTAGTCGCCCTTTAAAAAGGGGAGTATATAAGGTATTTCTCCCACTTTCCTAGCATGCCTTCGTGGTGTAACGGTAGCAGGCTGGGCCGGTATTCCAGAGGTCCGTGGTTCGATTCCCGGCTAAGGCGGTTGCATATTTTTCATCTTTTCTGCATCCAATTAACCTAATGACTCTACACTGGTACTATAAATTAACTAGGGCGAACTCAGCCCACGGTATGCCAATAAACATTTTAACCATGTTAAAACTACGCCTTGAATCTTCGTTATTATCTACGAGTTATGTTCTCGGTCTCGTATAGTATATAGCTCATATAGAATATATCTCGTATGACATATAGCTTAAGTTGTAAAGATAAAGTCAGCAATTGAGATAAAAAATAAAATCCTAATATACTTCATGATCATTTAATTCAGAACATTTTAAATCAAACTTGGATCTCATTAAATAATTGAATTTGTCTTAGACCAAACTTCAAACCTACCCTTGATCGTATAATACCTAGAATGCTAAACTGTATTTTAAAAAACTGTTGATATATATTGTATACATATGCATAAATATTTATTTGATTACAGAACTGTTAATAGGTTTTTTTCTTTCCCTTACAGTCTGCTATTAGCTTGCGAAAGCTCACTGCAGGTGATTCACTTGAAGAGCAACAACCTAGCACTCTGGAAACCCAGGTTCAAAATCCAGACTCGTCGCTTGAGACTGAAAGATTACTTACCAGCAGTCCGAAAATCGGAGCTCGGAATCCAGATTTATTGCGTCAGGCTACTAGCAATCCGGAAGTCGGAGTTCGAAATCCAGATTCATCGCTTGAGACTGAAAGATTACTTACCAGGAGTCCGAAAATTGGAGCTCAGAATCCAGATTCATTGCGTCAGGCGACTAGCAATCCAGAAGTCGGAGTTCGAAATCAAGATTCATTGCGCCAGACTGAAGAATTAGGTACCAGCAAACCGGAAATCGGACTTCAAAATCCAGATTCATTGCATGAGACTGAAGGATTAGGTACTGGCAATCTGGATATCGGAGTTCAGATGCCAGGCTCATGGCCCTAGACTAAAGGTTCAGTTACTGCCATATCAGAATTAAGGTTCATAAATTGAGACTACTGGGATTTTGGTGACAAAAATGACGAACAAAATTTAGGGCAACTGGATGTATTGTATGAAGACTAAACGACGTACTGGGCAAAGTTGAGTTCACTTGATTTTTCTTTTAATACTGTGCAATTTAACCACAGGAATTCTTTTCATACTTAAATGAAAACTCTAAATCGAAAATCTTATTTCTTAAAATTCATGTACTCTTAGAGCTCTGTACTGACTAATAATTTTTACTTCCTAAGCTTGCGTGTGCTTTAAATTTTATATTTTAATTTCTTTTAATAAAGAGCAAATGTACTGAAATATATGGCTCAAATATTATCTATGTAGGCATTGAACCTTCTTATTTATAACTTTATTACTAGTATATTTTAGAATTTTAAATCTATTGAGTAATATCAGGAAAGGAAAATTTATTAAGTCTCCTCAACCATAGCGAAGAAAAAAATTGTTTCAGAACAATGTTAATCGTAAGTTCTTGTATACTTAACTGAATAAAAAGTATTGAAAACGTCTATCAAATATTCCGAGCAGGTAAAATCGGCTCTCCACTCGCTTCAAAGCACACTTTCCTATTTGTAAGATGATCCAGAGTTTAGACCCTGATTGTATGCTCCTTGATATCGGCAATGAACTGAAGCTGTCGGCAGCAAATTCTGTAAATTATACTTATTATGGGTCATCTGTGTTAAGCGAAATTCCTATTCAGTTAGCCCGGTATTTGAGCCCGGGTCGAATCATCAGAGTTCACCAGTTTTACCAGTTGGCTGCTGGAGAGCTGTTTTGTTTTAAAATCATTGTAGTCGCATAAGTGACTATAATTCATTATCTAAATACTTTAAAAGTATCGTAAACGATTGAGGATATAACTATTTTTAATTGGAATGTTTATTCAAAATGTTTTGCTGCATGAAGGGATTTGTTTCAAATTGCTTATTTTTGTGTCTAATTTTATATTTTACACTGGCTTTTTTTTTTCATCAAAAATACAAATTGTATTCGTACTTTTGCATAATTAGATATCACGAATACTCATTAGAAAAACAGTCCTAATATATTCTCGTCTTTAATATTTTGTAAAGATCTCGTCAAATTAATTTTCAGGCAAATTTAGGATATAAAAATATTTTTCTACAGGAAATTAGACATACTATGTTCTGAAAATTTGAGCAGAAACTTAATAAACCGATAACTACTAGAGAACTGCATCGGTTATTATTGCGATTACTGGTGACACTTAACTCTTGACATGTTTGATATCAAAGGAAGTATTGCAGACAATGTAAATTAGCTACTCAAATTAGGAACATTACAGAAAAGTTTCATTGAATTTTACCAGCTTGTAGAAATTTTAACTGACGATATTTAAACTCTCATACCAATAGCTAATGCTGAAGGAACTTTCTCAATGAACGTACAAGAAGCTGTAATATTTACAAAATTCAATATTTGGTGTTCACTCAATAAAACAATTTTTTTGTTGCTGTCTTGGTTATATGGATTTTTTCTCTAAAACACCCTTTAACAAATTATATGCACGACAAACGCACAAAAATATATTTGATCTTTACCCAAAAAACTTTAGTTTATAAGAAAATTCTATGCTATTTCAAAGTGTGTTCATTAAGGCAATTTATTTTTTGTAGAATACATTCTAAAAGAAGTTCGAAAGTGCGATATGCTCGTTTATGAATTTTAACCTACTTTATTTTGAAATGAACTATTATTGACTTTGCAACCCAGTATGGTACGTTTTATACTGCATAGACCTGACAAAGAAGTATGCTTAATAAAATAAACGTTTAAGAAATATCTTTAAATGATATCATTTAACGATATTTCTTAAAGTTAATGTGCAAGTTATATTAAAATGTAACTTGCACAATCTGTTTTAATTTTCTAATTAATGATCGTAATGTTCATCATCTGATACTCCTATGAGTTTATTTCCTGATTATTTCCTGAGCGTGCATAGCTTACTAACAGCCGAAGCGGTAAAATCGCTGAAACTGGTAGTTTGGGCCGAGGTCGAATTCCGCGAACGGGCTGGCTGCATAGGCGTTTTCGTAGTTTTCCTTGTGTGTAACGTGTATACGAGCTACTTTCCCTTAAAAGGTTCTCTACGAAAACATACCAGCACTTAGGCAGATAACCCTCGAAGCTTTGCCGCAATCACATAAACTAACCAAACTGACCGTGCCTTAAAATCCTGTACCTTTGTAACCACATTAAAAATATAGGGAGAATGAAATGATATGTAATGAAAAATTACCAAATTGGAAAGTGATCTATAAGAAATTTTGAAACACTTTTAGTTATTTGATGCTTTCAAGCAGATAAAAATATGCTCTGGGGGAATGTATATCTGAGACCTTAGGTTATTGCTTTTTTGAGGGGAACCACTTTTTGAGCGTTTTGAAACTTTTGTGTATCTGTTCATTTTTCAGTACACTGATATATTTTAAAACGAATTGTGTTAATCAATTGTAAAATATTTTTAGTTGATATTTTAATCTTTAGAACTTTACAAATGCATTTAGACAACTGAGTTTCAATCACTTATAATGGTGTAAAATGTGTCAGAATTTACTTTACGTTTCCACTAAACATTTTATTGAAAAAACAAATTTATCTGTATTAATATGGTATTATAATTGTCAAAGTAAATAAATGAGTATATAAAATATTTAACTGCTAGTCTTCTCAAATTCTCAATATTCAACTGCTTTACTTCTCAAGTTAATTTTATACAGTTCTTAAAAAAAAATTGAAATTTCATACTCTGCCGCTGCCTGTCATGTAACTAATTTACGTAAATATGTATTCTATGTGCTGCTTACAGCTGAAAATGCATCAATATTATGAAGATTCATCAATAGAAGTTTTTCAATAAATTTACTAATTAAAAATCTCATTTCTATACATTGAATTTTTTTCAGGTTCCTGTTACTATTGAAGGCCGTTAGTTTTATACTGTAGCGAAAACTGATCCATTTGCAAATGAAATCTCCGATATCTTGATCACAAATGACGCATTTATAATATCTTTTCTTCTTTTTTTTTTTTTTTTTTTTTTTTTTTGTGTGTGTGTGTGTGTGTGTGTGTGTAAAATATATTTTGAGAGTTACTTTATGAAAGCTGAAAATCAAATTGATAAGTCTTTTGAAAGACTGTAAATGAACCGCGAATTTGAAATAACGGCTTAGTATTCAGTTTTACAGGCATTTGAGTCAGTTATCGTTAACTCTTTATTTCCAGAATCTTAAATTCAATTTCGCCTCCCAGAGTCCTCAGAGACTCCTAACAAAGTTGCTTTAGTGGGTCCGAACTGCCACCAAGTCTGATAAACTTCCTCTTTTCAGTATGAAATCACACTGTGAGAGCTGTATGATTGATTGAAGAGGGCCAAATTATCAATTGTTTTCCTTTTTTATTCGATCTTGCAAACTTTATTTCAGACATTCTTGCGTGCGATGATTCTTACGCACTATCATGTATAAACCATGGGATTTACTATGTGTATTTGATAGTGCGATAAACCTTACGCACATATCATGCGCTACCATGGTTCATATAAAGTATTATTTAGTAACATATCAACTTTTGTAATATATAGCACTTAACATCTATACTGCTTTAAATCTCAATGTTACTTTTTAGAGTGGTGTGAAAAAAATAAATTTGTATAATTTGAATTTATATCCCTCAAAACTTGTGTATTAATTAATAAATCACTCGTGAAAGGTTTTCAGAATTTTTCTACTGCGTCATCTTTCCTAGTAAGAGCCTTGAAATTTGCAATTTTTACATTAAATTTCCATGCTATAGCACAAAATATCTCCGTATGTTATTTTTCATAGTGATATAGTAAACATGTAACAAGTAAGACAGCAAAGCATTGGGCGAAATACTGTAAAATATTTCTGCATGTGTTCAAAGAAATTACTTTTCACTTAAATCAATCATAACATTTTAATTTTCCCATCATAAAATATGTACGACTTAAATTTTAGTACGCAGTTGAAGCTGGTTTGAAGGGACCGAGCTGGCAACCGATCAGTATCCAGAGAGATTGCGTCATCCTGTTTGCTGTTCGTCTTTGATGGAAGAAAGAACAAGATACTGATCACGGAGGAGGTGAAAGATGGCAATTCTCTTTGTAGATAGATCTAAAGTAGAACAATATATCCCACCGCGTAATCCGAAGCATCCGCTGAAATTTCTAAATTCTCATCATTTTCAGAAAATTTCAAAACAGGGGCTTGTGTTAATGCTTGCTTTAATTTTTCGAAATCACTATTGGCTTCGGCCGTACACGAGAATCTTGCCTTTTTCCTTTTTAATTTTAACAATGGTTCAGCAATAGCTGCAAAATCTTTTATAAAGGACCTATAATATGAACAAAGTCCTAGAAAAGAAGAGAGCTTCTTCGCCGTATTTGGCGGCGGATACTTTTGCACAGCGATTATTTTTGATTCGTCCGTCTCGATTCCTTTCTGAGATATTTTGTAACCTAAGTATTTTAATTCAGGGGCTGCAAATTTGCACTTTTCGACATTAACTTTTAGACCGGCCTCATTTAATAATGGAAACACCTGTCTTAAATCCTGTACATGTTGGTCCAGATTATCACTAGTAATAATGATATCGTCTAAATAGATAAATGTGGTCTTTCCAAGAACAAGCCTTATCACAATGTCCATACATCGCTGAAATGTTGCCGGTGCCCCTGAAAGGCCAAACGGCATACGTAAGAATGCATAAGTACCAGACTTGGTTATGAAAGCAGTCTTAAGCACATCTTCCGGTTTAACCCCTATTTGAAAATAAACAGTCGTTAAGTCTAACGTAGCCATATATTTGGTAGAAGTTATGTTCCTTAGAATTTCTTCAATAATAGGTAACGGATATACCGGATATTTAGTCATGGAGTTTAATTTACGATAGTCAATTGCAAAATGCCACCTTTTCGGATGTGTTAGCGGATAGTCATTATTTTTCTTACATAACACAACCGGGCTAGCATAACTACTTGAGATGGGCGTTATGACCTTATTTACGTAACATATCTCGAATGTGCCACTCTATAATTTTTTCTTTATTCTTATCATATCGATATGGTTTGTGGCGAACTGGCAGTGAATCTCTGGTGTCGATACTATGGTTAGTAACTTGAGTAAATCCGGGAATATCACTAAATAACGAAACAAATTCACCTACCACTTGTCGAATTTTTTGTTGCTCTTCCTTAGGCTGGTGGTCGAGGTTTAACGTTGGTGGTTCTGTTTTTTCTTCTCGAAATGGTTTCATCGTCAGCTTAAGGGACGCTTCGTTAAAATCCAGCGTTGCTTCTGCCTTTGAAAGAAAATCTATTCCTAAAATGACATGTGGTTGTAAATTTTTTACGATAAAAACAGTATCTTTACTTGCTCGTCCTTGATACGAATGTATAACGGTAATTTACCTATGCACTTGCATCTTTCTCCCTGCGCAACTAACACTGTCGTATTATCCGAATTATATAT